TTTATTTATATGAGAAGCTGTAATCTGTTCTATAATGCTACAAACGAGAGAAAAATGATTAAATAACTAACTTCGTATCTTTCTTAGTTGCAAACGTTCGAAACTACAAGTTTCAAACTAACCTGGATCAGGATATATATAGCTGTTTGGTGATGTATGCACTAGATTACGTCCTTCTGTGCACATGGCATGGTTAAAATTGTCGCAAATGAGTGAAATTACGCCATATCTCATTTGTCAAAGATTTATCGACATGTGTCATTTATGTCGATCGAATAACTGCAAAAGCTTCAATCGTTCCTTCGGAAAAATAATAGCAAGATTCTGAAAAGGTGAAACTTCCAGCTGCTTTATCTGACAGTGTTACCTAAGATTGAAGATTAGCATATGGACGAAAAAACTGTTCCACTTCTCTTGATATATTGCACTCAGCTTCCTCAGATCTTCAGTAGCCTTTAGTCCCTTAATCGTTATTTTCTAATCAGAAATGTAAATGGCATCGTGAAAGGATTTCTTGATATTGTCTTCGTAAATTCATGTCAAAGTGACTCAAAATTCCAGAAATCTTTCTGGGAAGATCTTTCCAGACCATCACTGCTTCGTGGGTTGACCATGTTAACATTTATAAAAGGCCTTCTTCCCCAACGAAACATAATTTGTTGTATATCGTCCTGGCATGATATAAATACTGAGGCTGCATTCATAGACTTGTCGAAAAAACTGATTATACTACTGGTCCAAAACAATAAGAATGTTTCTGTCAGTTAACAAGTTATACCAACTTTTGAAGCATTCATATGTTATGTACAAATATCGTTCAGAAAGTGGTATCACTCTTAAAACAGAAGGTAATATTGTATGTTAAGATATTCATCTTTCTTTCCGGATGCAGGGTGGTCAAAAATGTTTTATTACCGTATTTTATAAGAATATCCTTGTTTTCCGACATAATGAGGTTAATGTATCAACTGTCAGCAACGTCCTCTTAGACGATCGCTTTGAATCAACGACAAGCTTTCAAAGCTGAAGAATCGACAGCATAAAACGCGCTCAATCGTGCTATTCATTTTCTAAATTAAGCAGTTTTCAATTTGCTGGTCGCTTATGATGTGGACAGTGGAAGTGCAATTATGGAGAGCAGTGCTTTTGTCGCAAAATGCGCCGGAACGGCGTCCCGGGACTTTTTTTCGACGGATTTTCCAAGTTTTAAAAGTAACTTGTGAAAATTTGATGATTAGTCCACGTGGACTTGAATCGCCCAATCGAGCGCAGCACGTCGGCGGAAAAATCATTAAAACGATGCATGATGGCTTATTAACTAACATTAACAAGATGCGAGTTCCGGCATATTTTTTCTTACAAAAAAAAAACACTGACGGAGATCAATATTTAGATGATTTAAAAAATACTGCTTGTACTTATGTACTGCACTTTACCACTAGCGCATCGAACCTAGATATAATAGACACAAGACTTCTTGGATTCGAGTAGTACCCAAATACGGGTCTGCTCTGTGGATTAAAATCTATTTTAAGGTATGAAAAATTTGTTGTTATGTACAGAAGGCAACGAGCCAAAGTTCAAAGAAATTACGAACACGTTTGTCCATAATGCACACCAAATTACCATCATAAACAAATTCTTATTGCACGTAACATTCTATAAAAAATGCCACGAACCTTCGTATACTGTTTCTGGTTTGAAGATTTGATCAATTAGTGAGCGTGCGCATTTGGTCCAGTTCTACCTGTTCATTACGAATTATTAAATAGTGTGAAATGAATACCAAAATACCGTAAACTCAGTCTGGAACCACGCCTTCGATGACTGAACGCAAACACTGATTCGATGGTCAGCAGAAAGAAAACCTAGAAATCAATTACTTACTTAACGTAGATTCTACGCATATACATTCTTTGTCGAAACATCAGATCTGTGCCAAGCGAAGGTATTCATTTGAATTACTGATACTGGGCTTACTTGGCGAAAAAGCACCCCTCCTGCTTCGTGTT